CATGGAGGGACAGAAGCTCAGCTCACCTATATGAGGAGTCTGAAGCCTGAACTCTGGCCTCTTCTGGCAACCTTGCTAAGCAGAGACAGGTGAGCACCCTTCGGAAGTGACCTGGTGGGAGTCACCAGAACATTGGTAGGGCAGGCAACGTTCTCCAGTGAAGATGAATCCTTATAGTTGCTCTTGGTGCCCTTGCCACCAAGATTAGCTAGTCAAACCGTGACACTAGAAAGTTTCTCAACATTTCTGAGTTCATCCATACAATGAGGATAGTAACTTCCTTTTGAGTTGATATGAATGAGGATTAAAGAATAATATCAGTTCACTAAGGACTTGGGGATGAAGGCCTGGAACACATCAGCTCTTATTAGAGTTATTACCCAGCATTCATCTCATTTTCTAAGTCTGTGGCTGTGTTCTAACTGCCTGTGAGAATATGCCCTTAGGCCAAGAGTGCCCTGGACAGCAACTGAGTGTCCTTCTACTGCTGCCTTTGTTGGTGAAGATGCTGGTGTGTGAGACTCTGGGCCCACAGCCTAGTCATGGGGCATCACAGTGCAGGTCACAACATCCCCCAACTCAGTTGTTCATTGGCTGTGAACTCAGCAACAGGCTATGGGGCCCCCAGAGTGCTTGGTCCTTGGCCTAGAAGGGAGGGCTGGCATGAAGAGACATGTGCGTTTTTCCTGCCCTCACTCCTTTTCTTGAATCTCAAGGACAAAGGGGGGGGCAAATAAAGCTTGTCACACAGAGAACTAGGAAGAAGGACTCCATTTTCATTTTAAGCTTCTTGGAAGGTCAAGGAAGGCTGCAGGAGTCTGGAGGAGAGCTTGATGAATTAAATTTACAGGTTAGCACGACTGCAGGCAAGGTATGAGGCAGGTATTGTCAGCAGGGATCAGCAATGGCTGCACCTCGTGTGGCCTTGTGTGCTGGGATTGGGAGTTTAGATTTTGTCTTAAAACCAATGGAGAGCTATGGAAGCTTTAACAGACGGGAGTGACATAATCAGAATTGCATTTTTAAAAAGCTCCCTTTGCTGAGAGGATTTGGAGAAAGGATTGAGGGGTCAAGCAAAAGATAGGAAGGTCAAGCAGGTACAGCACCCACGCAAGAGAATGTGGGGCCTGGATTGGGGCTGGAGCTATGGAGGTAAAGGGAAATGGGCTGGTTAGGGATTAGTTAGGGATGAATGCAGTCATGCCTACCAACTGGTCTCCCTGCTTCCACCTTTGCCCCTTACAGTCTATTCTTCAGAGAGCAGCCAGAGTGATCCTGGTTAAAACGTGAAAGTTCAGGTCATGCCACTCCCCTGGCTTCTCATCTGGGAGTAAAAGCCAAAGTCCTGCCTGTGGCTCACAAGGTCAACAGAGTCAGCTTTACTGCCTCCACACCACTCTGACCTCAGCTAGTGCTCCTGGGCATGTCCCTTATACTACTCCAGCCATTTCTTCACTGTTCTTAGAATGTGGCAAGTGAAAGCCTCCTCCCTCTGCCCCACCCACCATCTTTGTATTTCCTGCTCCCTCTGCCTGCAAAGCAATTTCCCCAGATATCCACACAGGTCTTTGCTTAATTGTTCCTGTATCTGTGAGATCTTTCTCAATTTCCTATACAAAGGGATCACTAATTCTCTACTGTAATATCTAATTTATTTCCTTTATGGCAGTGCTTATAATCTGTACTTATTTTATATTTGTTCAAAATGTTTTCCACATATGAAGCACAATGCCTGGAACATAGTAGATTCTTAGCAAATAATTAGTTGAGTGAATGAGTTGAGCCTAAGGATGCCAGGGGGAGGCTGAGGATATAAGAAGGATGTAGTTGCCCTTTGGGCCTTATCTCCCATTGAGGGTTTAGGAAGTATGCCAGCAGAAACCAGTGCAGCAAGGTGAGGAGGAAGGTGGGAGGCAGGGAGGCTTAGAATGTGTGGATATGCATGTGTGTGTGTGTGTGTGTGTGTGCGCGCGCGCATGTGCACCCGTGTGTAGGGGAGCGGTTGCAAGGTGCTGCCCCTCATGGCCTGGGGTCTGGACAGGACAGAAGTAGGTTTGGGCCAGGCTCTGACAACGGAGATAACAGTTGTGCCCAGAAGCATGGGGTAGGAGCAGAAGGGGTAGGGTAGAGGGCATATGGATGGGAATTCTTACTTTGCCTGGAGATGCATGGGCCAAGGCTTTGTTCTAAGGGAGGGGACAATGGGGGTGGTGGAGTTGGGCCTTAAAGAGTGAGCAGGAATTAGCTAAATGGAGAAGCAAGAATAAAGGCATTTTGAGTTTGGGAGAAGATCTGAGAGCTATGAAAATGCAGAATGATATAATGTAGCAGTGAGACTTGGAAGTGAGACCAGGAGTCAGAGAGGCTTTAAATGGGAGGCTTACAATTGATAGACCACAGATCCCATCCTGAGGGCCCTGGGGGCCATGAAAGGGTCCACAAAACAAGGGAGTGGGAAGTTGCTCCAGCTGCCCCGAAATAGGCCCTGGAAATAGTGAGGAGGCAGGACCCCAGACACAGTGATGGATAGGATGTGAGAACTGTGGTGAGGACGCAGATGGTGTCCGAATCTCTGATCTGAAGGCCTCTGAGGTAAGGTCAGGCCAGGTTTGGGATCAGTTCTGAGTACTCCGTCTGGGTCAGGTGGGCTAGGGCGCTGTGGATCGGGGATCCTCGATCTTGGTTGCTGCAGCCCTGCGGGCTGGAGATGTGAGTCTTGGGGCAGCAGAAGGCGCCAAGGAGGCTCCAGGACCCCTGGGGTGAGTGGGTCGTCTCTGTGGGGGTTGAGAGTGACTGCACGTTCTGGGATTAAGGCTAGCACAGGTGGCAGGTTGCATCCACAGCAGCGGGTGGGGGTGGGGGGCCGAGTCTCCGCGGGTGTGAGCCTGGCCCAGCGGTGGGGGCCTGTCCCCGTGGCTCCGGTATTGATTTTCCGTCTGCTTCCGTGCCTAATGGCTTCCCTGGCTGCCCGTCATCGCTTCCGTTCCCGCCTATGACGGGGTGGGGCCCGGACCTCGTCGTCGGGCTAGGCGGGGTGGGGGAGAAGGGGCAGAGGCTTCCACCTCCCCAACCTACTCCCCTGCAGCCTCAAGGGGCGAGACCGAGCCGGGGGTGGGGGTGGGGGGGTCGGGGGGTGGGGGGCTGGCCGCGGGGAGACCAGCGCGGGCGGCGGCGCCGGAGGTCGTCCTCGGGCCCGGGGCCCGGGTCCCAGGTCCCAGGTCTCCAGCCCCCTCCCTCCCTCCCCGCTCGCCGCCGGCACCTGCCCGCCGCCCGGCCTGTGCTCGGTCAGGGAGGGGAGGCGACGGCGGGAGGAGCCTTTGGAAGGCGGCTCTCAGAGCGAATTAAAGCAGGAACACAATGTCTACTACTGAGAGGCAAGCAGAAATAAAAATTTACGAGCTTGTGTACACAACCCCTGAAAAAATGCAGAGTAAGCACGGATCACAGTATTCTTCAGGACAGAACTCTACTTTTTTACGCTGGTTCTTGCCAAATGAGTGTGTCGAGTTAGGGTCACAGTTCAAAAAGATTTGTTTGTTTGTGTCTTTTTCCAGAGCCTGACAGAGTCTTAACTTTGACAAGTGGAAATGCACAACAGACTTGTAAATCAGTTTGTAAACGAAGAACAAGGAGAGACTTGTCATATTAAACTGTACAACAGTAGTAATTAAATCAATGCGATAGTGTCAATGGAATTGAGTCCAGTAACAGAGACTCTAACAAAAACATGAAAAGGTCCTATCACTAAGAAGTTAAGTAAGTCTCAGAAAAAAACGAATGAAAGGTTTAGGACAATTCACTCAAGAACTCTTGGATGGAGAAGGCCATTCTGTTCCCCACTGTTCAGTCAGCGCCCAACAGCAAATACAAGAAATACTTGTCGAATGAATGCCATCACGGGTAATCAAAGGAGTGCAAATTAAAGCAAGTACATATCGTATTTTACTTATCAGATTGCCAAAAACGAAAAAAGAGAGAGAGAGAGAGAATATCCTGTGTTAGGAAGAGCCTGAAAGAAATGGGTGCTGTCGTGTGCTGATGGTAAGACTGTGAACTGATAAGTCTTCTGTGGTTTTCGATAGTGCAAAATTGAAAATAGCATAAACGTTCTTTAGTCGAGACTCCCTAAATAAATGGGGACTAAGTGAATGAGGTTGCTTCTGGCCAGGAGCAAGCTGTGGAGAGTGGGGATCTGTTTCCATGTGACCCGGAGCTCAGGAGAGTCTGTTGCAGGTGAACAGCTATAATTCAACCACTCTGATATCATTTATATTTTTCAAAAGTGTGAGTCTGTACCAGCATGTGCAACAGAGCCATGAAAGGCTCCAGGTCACCCCACCGCCCTGTAACCCCCAGGCCTCTTAGAAGTGGCTGTGTTTACCCTTGGCTTTGGGGATAGGAGCTAAGGGAAGGCCGCAGCCCTAGGCCCTCCAGCTCCGGCCGCCTTCTCTGGTCTCTCACTGCCCCTCCCCAACAAACTCTAAGTGCGCCCCCTGGTGGGAAGAGAGGGAAAGGGGAAAGAAAAAGGGGTCGCGGCAAGAATAAAGTGACAGGGGGCAGGAGAGAAGAGAGGAAGAAACCCGTGAGAACGCCAAGAATGCCAGCAGGAGGATAACCGCCCAGGACAGTCCTGATGATCTTACCGCGCTCCGCAATACTTCCTGCACCTGCTGGTGGCCAGACGGGACCTTTCCTGTCTGTGCTCGCCTTTGTCATACCTTTGCACACACAGTTCCTCACCCTGAAGAGCAATTAATCTCCTTCCCATCCCTTAGTTCTCTGCTGACCTTTCCTGCCTCCACCGAGGTCAGAGCCCTTGGTGTGACATCACTTATAGCACCCCAGACCTCACCTCCCTGTTAATATAACCTCGCCTTGTGATTTATGGCTGCTTTGCATCTAGCCTGTGGCCTCCTTGAGGACGGCACAGCCGCTGGGTTGCTCACCGATGCACCCAGGGCCTAGGACGTGCTTGCCAGCTGAACAGAGGCACTGCCATGTTCAAGGCTGAGCAGAGGGAATTTATTAGAGAGGCAGAGGGCAAATGCATATTTACACGGACCACGCGGGGGCATTAAAAGCAGAAGCGGGGACGGGAGGTTCCTGGAGCAGCTCAGACTAGTTCCACCTTGGCATTGGGGTACACCGCCACCACGTCGTAGCCCTCAGGTGGCTTGACGCGCGCCTTGGCATGGCTCTCGCAGTAGAGCCGCTCATCCAGAAAGAAATAACCGCGCTGCTTAAGATTCAGGCCGCAGTCGCTGCACATGAAGCATTCAGGGTGGTAGAGCTTGTCCCGCGCCTTGACGATGGTGCCCCTGATGAGGGAGACGGGGAGAGGGCTGATTCCAGCGACTGTCGGATTCCGAGCACGAGCACGCTCCCTTCGCAGGCGCCGGGCAGGGCCAGGAGAGTGCGGGGGTCAGGGTGGGGGAAAGCAGGGGAGGGTACTCACACGATGCCGTGGCCGCAGCGCGTGCACTCGGGCAGTCCCTGCAGGCCGCTCAGCGGAGTGCCCAGCTTGCTGGCAGTGGGCTTGGGGTTGCGGGGACCGCTAGGCCCCAGCCGCTCTCCTGAAAGCCGGAGCGCAAGTGGCATGAGTCCAGTGCCGAGATCAGAAAAGGAAACTACCTCTGGGCGGTGTGGGATAGACCCAGCGTCCAGGACTATCAGCACTGCGACTGGGGACAGGGTGGGAGTGGGAGGGGCCGCAACAAGGGGTGGAGCAGGATTTCGGACCCTGAGGCCCAGCAAGCGGTGTGGGGATGCTGGGGCGCTGGGGCGGATCACTGGGAGGCAGGATGTGGGGGTCGCAAAAGGGTGGGGTCGGGGCGGGGCTATTCAGGGCACCCGAGGGATAGATGTAGGCAGATCCGGGGCAAGGTGGCCAGAGTCTTACCACCCTCCCCGGCCTCTAGCATGCCCTGCAAGTAGCGGAAGGAGCCTGACTGCTTGGGCTCCGAAGCCAAGGGTTCAGCCGGCTCCCGCAGCATCCTGTACACCTCTGAGCCCAGGTCCACTCCGCAGTCACGGCTTCGCGGGAGGCCTCTGGCTGTGTCAGGGCTGGGCAAAAGAGATGCACCAAGGGACAAGGTTGTGGTACCCGCCTTCCCTCTGCTAGCTCAAGGGTCTGGTGAGGTTTTCAAAATAAAACCAGCTGAGACCCACAGATCAAGTGTCAGGGGTCAAGATGTGACCCAGTGAGATCTGAGAGATCTGGGATTAAAATGCGATGTGGGTGTGGCTTCAAAGGCCACTTCTCTGTACTACCTGTGAAGTGGAGACACATGCAGAGTGCTCATTTGGGTCAGTAAAGTAGCCTCACTGCTGCTGCCATTGTGATGGAATGGGAGATGAGATGGCTGCCCATAAGGAGATCCCAGGCCTGGCCTGCCATCTTCTAGCCCAATCCCGGTGGCTGAGGGCCTCCTGCTGGTCGCTGGACTGCCATCCTACAAGAGAGAGGGGCCTGAGGCACTGAGAAACCATCTGGGGTAGGGCCATTCTTCTGGCCTTTCCTTATACATTCCATCCTTAGCCTGTTATGCCAGACCTTCTTGGATATTGGCTGGTTACCCCTGCTCTGGCATCTCTGAGCTGTGATGCCCAGCCAGGGAAGGGCTGAAACTTGGGTTTGGTTCAGCCCCAGAAGAAATGAGAAATGCCTGAGGAAAATCAGACACAGAAACCTGAGTAACTGTGTCTCAACCTTGGCACATGAGCCATGTGGTGGTTCTGACCACCAGTGTCCATGACAGATGGTATTGGGGCATGACCATTCCAACTAGCCTTTTAAGGCCAGCGTGACTAGAGCAGAGTGTGTGGCTTCCTTGCAGAGATGGTCCTAGTGCCAGGCCTTCTCGCCTGCCAGAACTGTGCTGGGTATTGTATGGGCCCATAACTGGGAACATGAAAAAGAAACCCCTGTCCTGAAGCCAGGAAGAGTCATCAATCATTGTGTGCCCAAAGCACACAATGGGTTGGGTGCAGACTGAAGTTCAAAGCCATCATTGTGAGGTCAGCCCCCTTTAGGCCTGTACCTCTGCCTCCATTTCATGCTCCCCAGGGCAATATGCATGGCCTGCTATAGGCATAGCAGGTGAGAGGCAGTGGTTGGGCCAGAGCTTAAGGATCCCCACTCTACTTCTCCATGGCCAGCCTGGTGCCCTTGACTGAAACATTTGGGGAAATGCCTTGAACATGCCTCCACAGCATAGGAGAAAAAAACAGTGTCTCCCTGGGTATGGATCCTAATGGAGACTGGGGATCTTTGTCTCTGCTGAGCCCAGGACTATGTTGTCCTTAGCTTGCAGGCATATACAGGCATACACACTCTCAAAGAACTTTCACAGACAAACACAAGCATGAAGACAACATACAAGTACCAGCCAGTCCACTGACATATACCTAATCACACATACACAGTCTCATATACTCAGAGCCAGTGCTGGTCACCCTGGGGATGACCATAGTAGCAGCCTCCATGGCTGGGATGAGGTTGGTGGCCAGAGCAGCCGACTTAAAGATGAGGCACAAGGGTCCAGGCCATGAAGGTGGGTCTCAGCCTCAACCTGGGAGGTGACATGTAAATTTCTCCTCTGCTCTACACTGGGGACGAGGAGACTAGGTGGTGGGGAGAAGATGCTTACTCTATGGGGAAAGAGCCTGTATTGGACTCAGGCAGCCTCCAGCACTGGGGCAAAATGGAGCCTGCAGAGCTTTGTCTGGACCGCTCCAGCTTTTTCTGCAGCCTCTGAGCTGGGCGGGAGCTTGGGGAATTGGCGGACCAGCTGCTGAATGGGAGTGGTGCCCCCATTTCCCCTACCTCAACAGACAAAGGGAGGGTCTCTTGCTGCCCAGGTGGGCCTCTATCAATGAGGCAATAGCAGTAGGAAAACCCACTTCCCCACTAGCCAAACAAAAGCCCCTGAGAAACCTGAGCACTTTTGCACATGTGTTTGCAGGGCAGACAGGCAGGCAAGGCTGGCCTGGCCTGTAATGGGGACCAGATGGGACACAGGCTGTGGGGGCAGGGCTGGGGCTGGTACAGAGGAGGTTTCAACAGGAAGGGGAGTCAGAAGGTTCTGGAGGAAGGAGCCCCCACTCACCCAGCAGGGTGTGGGAGTCCATTGCAGGGTCATCAGAGCCACTGCCCCTCCCCCTCCCATGGCCACCCATGCAGCCGCCTCTCTAGGTCTGAACTCGGTGGTTCAGACACACATGGTGACCTCAGTCTCAGTTTGAATCTCAGCTCTATCACCTCTCTGAATCTGTTTCTTCATCTGTGAAATGGAGAATGTGACAGCCTTTACATCCTAAGTTCCTTGTGGGAATAAAATGAGACAGTTGCACATAAAGCACCTAGCATAGTGCTTGGCACGCAACAAATGCTTGTTAGATGAAGGGCTGGCATGGACATTCCTGAGTTCCTATTCCTATTTCTAGACTCACCCCTGCCTGACCCCACTGTGTGGTAGTGCACCTGGTGCTATGTGCTCGCCCTCTCCGAGTATCTGCCAGCCATTGATTTGGTTGTTGAAACCTCAGTGGGATAATCAGCAGAATGGAGGTAACTGCCTGCTTGCTCATTAGCTCCCACATGACTGTGGTCAGAATCTGGGACACTCAGCTTGGATGGAGATGGGCACTGAGTCCAAATGAGCAGGTGGCGCCCATGGGAGGCCAAACTCCAGCTCTCTGCTGGTCTGGAGAGGACAGGCTGAGTGTGTGAGGAATGCCTGCTCTACTTGGCTCACCTGGTTCTCAGCTTAAATGCCATCCTCTCCAGGAAACCTTCCTGATCATCATCCTTCCTCTGCCCAATGGACCAAATACCTCTTCTGTTCCCACATAAGTAAGGCCTGAGGGAAAAAGGGTCTCCTATGGCTCTACATGACCTGCACACCCTATGTGCATCGGGGGTGCATCCCAGGGTACCTTGTGGTCTTAGGGACAGCTGTGGTTTTCTCCTTCCCTGATGTCTTTAGCTGGGCCCACCCACTCCTCGCTGCAGGCAGAGGGTGGGAGCACTGTAGGGACAATGGGCCCTGTGTCTGTGTTCCTGAGGACACGGCCTTGCGGGGGCTGGGTGGGGGTGTTTCTGTCACCACCCATGGAGCTCATGACTTTTAAGTACAAGAGGAGGACGGCAGCTGAGGGGCAGCCTGATTGCTTATAGAAAATCCCTCTGACTCCAGCTGAGCACTGGCAGCCTGGCCCTTGAGGAGGTCAGTAAGGGGAAGTGTGGGGGCAGGGCAGCTGCTCACCAGCCCCCTACCCCCTGCCCCCAGGAACCCTGGCCTTGAGCCTTTCCTGAAGGACAGAATAGAGGTGAGATTCAAGTTCCAAAACTCAGGCGCTCCTGCCCTATGCATCCGGCACTCACACGTGACAGCTGGCCTCCCATATGTGTTGGGGGCCAGCACTGTGCTGCTGCCTTCCACCTGGCCTGTGTCAAGCCTGGCCGATTTGTCAACCCCTGCTCACCCCTGGCCCCTTGCACCAGGGCAAGCTTTGGAGACACAAATGTAGCCATGAATCTCTGCAGGAACAGCTGAGGTCCTGGGCAGAGAAAACCAAGAGACTGTCTGTGGTTCCGCTCCGTCTCTTTATCCCTGGCCTCTGTGCTCCCACCCACAGGAGCTTTCTTTTTTCTGAACCTATGATGCACAATCTCAGTTCTGTGCCTTTGTATGTGCTTCCTTGTATGCTTCCTTTCTCTATGCTGCTTTGCTGGCCTTATTCTTCCTAGCCCTTGGGTCTTGGCTTGGATATCCCCTCCTCCAGGAAGCCCTCTCTGAACACTTAGGTGAATCATGTGCCTACTCTGGAATCCCTTGGCCCCTGGCTTCTGCCATTCCAGAATTGATAAGTGCCTCTTCCTTTTCATAACGGGTACTTCCTCGCAAGTAGTAAGCATCTGGCCTCGGGGATTCCAGCAAAATCAAGGTAGGGAACAAATATCAGAACAAGAGGATTGGGAATAAATGGTGAGGGAGATGGCCTTCTATACAGTGAAGGCTTCATGGTGAGAAAGTAGATACAAGCAGGCCCAGGAGGCCATGGCCCCACATGCTGAGCCCCACAGCTCTGGCTCCATCACAGGCCAGTCCAATTTCCACCTTATTCAAACTCTGTAACCCAGAGATGTTGAGCTGGCTCTGGATATGTCAGCCCTGCCCACTTGGTTACCCATTAAGTCCATGGCAAAACAAGGCCCTAAAATAGCTTCTTTCTGCCCCTTTCCCCCATTTGAGGACAGTATCATAGTTATGAGTCCCATCATACATGCAAAGGTGGGTGACTGTGGCCTGAGGTCTACGAGGTGCAATCACAGGATGGCCAGGAGAAAACTTTAGTCTTAAATAAGACATGGAAGTGCTGCCTAGAGTACAGATAGAACCCCCAGCCGCTACGCATCACCTGGGGAGCAGAAGATGGGGCATGGACATGGCCCAGAGAAATTTGCTGCCTCAGTCTCTGGCCTGGATATCTGAAAGCTACAATGAAGACATCTAGTACAATTAAGCCCATGGACTAGGCCTGGCTCCTCTGTCTTGGGCTTGCTCTGAATCAGGCCAGGCCAGGCGGTGTCTGTCCATACATACCTGGACCTCAGGGTCAATGTGGATTCTCTGTGCTTGAGCTTTGCTGTCCTCTGGGGCACCAGGCCAGCTCCTGCCTTCAGGTCTGTGACAAGGAATTAGGACAGTCAGATATGTCTGCTTACTGTGCTTACCATGACTGGGACCAGGACCAAGAGGGGCTGGGCTCTGGCACCCTGCATGGCAGAGGACACCACCACAGTGCTTGCACCTGCATCAGAATTTGGCCGTTGTGGCAAGGACACATAACTCTAGATCTGCCACCTGCCTAGGGCGAGGCGGTGTGTTCCATCCACACCAGCTGCTCCATGCCTCTCTGGTCTCATTCCCAGACAGGATGCAACAGAAGCCCTGCAGCTTCCTCACTTTTTCACCCTTTCCATGGCCTCAGCAAAAAGAAGACAAGCTTGTAGCAAGGCACACCAGGCCTCACACATTGATCAGCTAGGATCCCATCTGTTTATCCTCTTCCATCCACAGCCTCTGGCCTAGCCTGGAGGTCAGGCATCCATGGGCTCTGGGGGAGGTGACATAAAGCCTTTGAGGGGAGGGGTGCACCTCCCCTCTTGCTGCCGGCAGAGTCATCACCAATGTCTGCCCAGCCCAGATGGGAAACAGGCCATTAGGAAATTCCTGCTTCACCATAGAAACCAAAAACCAAACACCACTCAGGAGGGAGAAAAACATCATAAACCTGCCATAAGCGGGGCAGGCGGGGCAGGCAGAGGCTATGGGCCTGGGGCCCAGTCCTGCCATTCAGTAGCCCTGCGAGGAGGCAAGGCAGGAGGGTGCATGGACCCTGGACTGACAGATGGGTGTGAAGTGAGGCCAGTTACACGGAAGTGGAATAATGTCCCCCACTTACTTCAAAAGGCCTCCTGGGGCTTTCCAAGGTCTCACCACTGGGTCAGCAGCTCAACACGGCCTCTTTCACCCCCACTCACTGAAGGATTTTAACTATCTGTCTACAGCTGTAAACCACACTCATTCTACACTTCCTCACCTTGGTCTGTTCCTTAACCTGGTACAGACTAACCTCTCTTCCCCACAGCCTTCTGCAGGCCTATGTGTGACCAAGGCTCTGCTGCCCTAGGGCAATACCATCCCCACTTGCACCTGGCCCCAGCCCTCCCAAGTGACTCCCCTAACTCAACAGCTCTACCTGTGACCTCTACCCACTCAGAACTCTGCTGGGATAAATCTAGGACATCTCATGTGGCTATACTGCCTTATATTTCCCTGAAGTTTTGTCCAGAAGAGAATCACAAGCCTGAGGTCTGAAGGTCAGAGTGCACAAAGCAGCCAGAGCAAAGAGTGTGGCACAAGGCATCAGATCACAATGAAGGGCTCATTCAATCTCCATCCCTAGGTCTTCACTTCAGGCTGGACAGGTGGCAACACCTACCATCTTTAAGCAAAATGACAGCCCAAGGGTGGACCATGCAACTGTATCTTGTAACACACAATAGGCAACACAGATCTCACCAGAAGCCCAGGGTTGAAGCTGATGCCAGGAAGGCTCTGGGCCTACAGAACTTGTCCAGAAAGTATGGGTTAGCTTAGATTGTTGGATAAGTGGCTCTGAGTTGGAGACAAAATAAGCATAGCAGGGAAGCTCGGCCTTTCCCTCACTTTTCATCCTATGGAAAAGTCTATGGAGGATTAGAGCCCTCTGTACACAAGATAGCATGTAGGGAAATGGTCTGGGTAGAGCTATGGGGGAGGAGGCACAGAACAGCTCTCTCCAGCCAGTTTACCAAGCTGATCCTCCATGGAAACCATGTTGAGGGGATCTTTGGAGCATAGGTCCTGGCATAGCAGGTAAGAGAGAGAGCAGGGTTAGAGAGACCCTGTGAGATGTTGCCCAGGAGAAAAAAATGCTGACCCAGAGGGTCAAAGTGGCCTTCATGTCTTGGTCTTCCAGAATCTGCATGTGTGAGAACTGGGAATAGGGAATGGAGGACAGAGCCCCAAATTTACACCCTGAACAGACCCAGTAAGTACATCATAAGCATTCAATCTCCCAGTTATAAGGAAGGAAAGGAAACTGAGAGTTTTGAGATTAAATCACTTGCTAGAGGACAACACAGTTCTCAAGTGCAGAGCGAGGACTTGAACCCAGACCTGTGATAGTAGAGAATGTGCTCTCACCTTCTCCATGGCCAGACAGCATTTAGGGGCAGAGTAGAACAGGTCAGGGGACCCCTGGCTCTATCCATGCTTGGCTTGGAACAAATGACCAGGAAAGGAAGGAAGGAAGGAAGGAAGGGGGACCTCCACCCTGCCCCTACCCTGCTACCCTCCCCTGACATTATTCCCTCTGGGAACCTCCTGACTCAGGCCCCCTATAAACACCCCCCTGCCCCCTACTGCCTCCTCCATCCCACTACTACCAGGGCTTCCCTTCTTTAGCCATGCAAATTCAAGGCCGGAGGTGAGTCAGGGCCCAGGAAATCAGCCAAGTGGGGTGGCAGCAGAGGCTACTCATGGACAGAGCAGTGCAGATATTTCCCCCAACCAGACTATAGCCTCAGTCTGGGAGAGGGTGATGAATGTGATCCTGCTTGGTAGAGAAGAAAACCCAGGCTCATAGAGGTCATCTGGTATACCTAAGATCCCACAGAGTCTGGATGAGAACCAGCTCTGCTGAACTCCCTGCTCTAGCCTTGGAGTTTCACTCAGCTCCAAGAGCACAGTCAGGAGGGTCCTGACCCCAACCTGGACCCAGATCCAGGCCAGACACACATGGAGGCAATGTCAGAAGCCTTCCTGACACGTTTAATGGCTCCCAGCCCTGCCAGCTCAAACGCATAGTTAGCTGTGTTGTGGTTTGGGGAGGCTTTGCCGACACACATCCACAGGGGGAGCATGGAAAGTCCCTGTGAGCAGTGAACGTGGCAGAGCTGCACAGTTTTATCTGACTTCTCTCGTTCCAAGTAAGACATGGGGAAGGGAGATCCCACTCAGCCAGGACCTGGCAAACTGCCTTTAGAGCTGAACAAAGACCCAGGGCCTGAGTAGCGCTGGAAACGCCTCAGGTGGCCCTTCCATCCTAGACCATTTTATGGCACAGAAGGGGCTTGGAGAACCCCCAACCTCCCCTTCATGTAGGCTGTAGGGCATTATACAGTCCACAGCATCCAGATTTAACAAGGGCAGACACATGGGCCCTAGCGGGGACGACCGAGGCAGGGCAGCCACGGGGTGATAGGAAAGGTCAGCAACCACTCCTAGAAGAGAGAGAGACCCTAGAGTAAGTTTTGCTTCCCCACTCCTTTGCTGTGTGACTTCAGACACCGCTAACCTTTTTGAGCCTCAGCTATCTCATCTGTAGTGTAGGGACTATACCAGGTGCCACCCAATTAAGCAGGTTTGAAGGCTAACTGAGGTGTTGGACAAGAAAACACTTTGAAATGGTCATCAAGCTGATCACTCTGGGGTGGGGAGAAGAGTGAAATCCCTCACCACCCCAGAGGCTACCCAGGTCTTATTTCAACACTGATTTGGGCTGCCTATCCCCTCCCCATAAGTCCCTCAATGTACTTCCAGCCCTGAACTAACAGGGGGCTTCTTTGCTTCTTAAATCACCCCCATCTCCAAACGGTGTCTGGCAGGCCACCAGAAAAGCACTGCTTCCCAGGGCCGGGGTGCCATAGATCTGAGGCAGAGAGACTGTGGGAAGCCCGGCTCTTCCAGGATGCTGGCCAGTCTTAACTTATCCTCCTCTTAATTCCACCCCTTGCCCCCTCCCCACCCCATCATCCTGGCCCACCCCACCCTGTGCGTACCTGCTCACAGAAAGTGTGAGATGGTCATGGCAGCCCTTGATGCGGTTCTGAGCTTCCAGGTGTGTCATGAGCTCTGTGCTTTCACCATTAATGGCCTGGATCAGGTCTCCAGGGCATAGGGCAGCCAATGCAGCCTTGCTGCCAGCGTGGACCTGAAGATGGATAAGCCGGAAGGCTGGGCATCAGTCATTATGTGACCTTGCTGTAGTCTGCTCTAGACCCCCTCTAACCTCAGAACATGGGCTGTGTGGCCCTGTTGCCCACATGACCTGTGAGTGGGAAAGCCCAGAGGCTGGTTGAGTTCCCATGTGGTCTTATTATAGCCTCTGCTCTAAACACCCTCATTTCTAGCACCTGAAGGACCAATGGAGTGTGAGGGCATATAAGAGGGCCTTCTCTGGGACTGAGACAAGTGGGATATGCAAGGAGCCTGCATATGTACCCACGGACGTGCAAGGGACACACAGGGACACATGTGCTCCCAGATACATACAAAGCATGGGCATGTCACAATACCCTACACAGATAGTGCCTTACCCCGACCCATTGCACAGCAGCCCCTTGACCTGACATTTCCTAGTGACTTTGTCTCCCTACTTGTTTCTTCCCATCCCCACCCCCTACATTCACCTCCACCTACCCATACCAGTTGAATATCTAGGGGCTACAGATAGTGCCAGATAGTTTCACCTCCACACTTTTGCCAATGCTATTCTCTCTACCTAGAACACTCTTTCCTTTGACCTCCAACCCTAATTACCAGCTTACTCCTCCTCCTCACCTTCATGTCTTAGCAGAGGAGCCATCTCCTCTAGGAGCCTCCTCTGTGGGCTCTCATGGAACTCTGTGAACCTCCTTTACCACTTTGCTAGTGCCTCATTCTGCGCCTGTGACATCACCTCCCCAGGCATGTCTGGGACCATCTCCTTCCAGCTGCCTGCCTGTACTCCTGAGCCAAATTTTACCTCTGCTTCCTCTGCAGGACAGACACTCACTCACTCAGGCCACCCCAGTGCTACTATTCGTTCCAAGCCAATGGTGTCCATGTCTGGAGCCTCTTACAATGCTGGTCCCCTGATGAGGGTCACATAAATTTTGGGAAAAGCTCATAGAAGGCCTGAGTAAGGAGCCCAGGGGAATTCAAGCAAGAGGGTACTCTTCACCTTATCCCCCATCTCAGCAGAGCCTTTGGAATTAGACTTCAGGCACCCTCATTGAAAAAAAAATTTTTTTTAGGTAATTTCTGTGCCTGACCTGGGTCTAAAACTCACAACCCCGAGATTAAGAGTCACATGCTCTACCAACTGAGCCAGCCAGGGCCCCATAAGCACCCTCATTCTTACCCAGCCTCTCTAGTGGAACCCTTAAGAGCTTCCAGTGACTCTGTTCCTATTGCTGGGGTTGGGAGCTCCTAGAAGCCCAGCTAAGCTCAGCTTATCCAGTTTTTAGCAGTGAGTGGACAAAGCTGAGGTGTTGGCAGCTCCTTGGCTGGAGTCTTGGTGTGGGGCAGTGCCTAAACTGACCTGCCCTGAAAATAGGCTGCCCCAAGGAATATTTTTCTGGAGCATGACACCTTCAGCCCACCATGAATACTAATTCACAGGGCCTCGGCACCTGTGCAGGCCTATCATCCTGTGGTTAGGACCCATTAGACATTATCCCACCCTCCACTCAAGGCCCTGCTCCAGAACCCTCTCCTTCATGGACACATGCTCTGTGACACAGCCTGAGCTTAGTGCTTTACCCAGAACTAGTTCATGGCAACCTTTCAACCACCTAATGAGACAGAGGCTATTCTCTTTCCTACAGATGAAGTAAGGGAGGCTTGGGGGAAGGGACACCTTGCCCCAGTCCCCACGAGGGAGAGAAGTCTTCTTCAGGGGGGCGGCTGGCTGCAGGATGACTCAGCCAGTACAAGGGGTGCATTCAGGCCCCTGTGGGTGGAGGAAGTTCTTGAAAGCAGGGGTGGCTGGGACTCTGCCAGTTCCACTAGCTCGGGGAGTTCTGGTCAGAGAGGGCATGAGGCCAGGAAACCGTGACTCCCCCAACTGCCTTTATATGCATTGTCTTATTAATCCTCCAGGAATGCCCATTTCTTAGGTGAGGAAACTGAGGTCCAGATAAGTGCAGAAGGAGGCTCAATTGATAAATGGCAGAGGGCAGCCCCGGTGGCGCAGCGGTTTAGCGCCGCCTGTAGCCCAGGGCGTGATACTGGAAACCCTGGATGGAGTCCCACATCAGGCTCTCTGTATGGTGCCTGCTTCTTCCTCTGCCTGTGTCTCTGCCTCTCTCTCTCTCTCTCTCTCTCTCTGTCTCTATGAATAAATAAATAAAATCTTTAAAAAAAAAAAGATAAATGGCAGAGATAGGATTTCATTCCAAGCTGACTGGTTCCGTGTCTTATCCACTAACCACTGTGTGATTTTCTGCAAAAGGGAGTGAGGGGAGAGTGCGCCCAGGGGAGAGAGAGAGTCATGGGTAGAAAGATCAGCATGGATAATGGCTCATCTGGGAGAGAGAATAAAAGCAGGCTCCTGGGGTTGAAGCATCATCAGTGAGGAGAGAGAAGTCAGAGAAGAAGCAGGGACCAGATCTGCAGACCTTGTAGATCCAGGTGAGAAGCCGGCATTCCTCCTGGTAGTTGAAAACTACAGAGGGTTCTAAGCAGGGAAGTCACAGGACACAGTTTAATTCAGGCTGATCCCTCTGGCTGCTGAGTACAGGATAAATAGGCAGAATGAAGGCAGAGGGATCCAGTGAGGTCAGCTCGGAGGCTGGGGCATGAGCCAGCCCCCTCACCTGTAGCAGCTCCATTCCTGGGCCCTGCTTCAGTCTGCCCAGCTCAGACACTGTAATAGGCTGGAACTCACAGAGTTTGGTGCCATATTGTCCCATACAGTCACAGCAAGCTCCATACAGGCCTGGATTCCTGTCCCTGCTCTGCTTCTCTGGATACACTACCTTAGCCTCTCTGGGCCTTGGTGTCCCCATCTATAACGTGAGGCCAGAGAGGTCCTTACTTCTAAGGGCTCTTATGAGGACTACCCGAGATAATCAGGGCAAAAAGTCCCCACAACGGGTTGGGCACATGGTGGTGCTCACTTCAGGCTCTGGTTGCTGGGGACCTGGTACCAACACCCATTAGGGTGGGGCCTGGAATGCTGTGGATGCTTAGCCAGGGCCAAACACTATAATTCATAGGAGAAGAAGCCCAGAGCATTGTTCTGGGGGGCTCCCTGAGGCTTCAAGGGCTGAGGTTCTAAGGCCCCAAATCTGCCAGGCAGCCAGCCTCCTCCCTGTCTGAGTGTGGCTGTCCCCCCAGCAGGGTGGGCAGGGGGAGGCTCTGGAAGCATGGAAGAGGTTGGGTCTTGAACCCCCTCAGTAAAGACACTCCGACCGACCATCAGTGTAGACCCTGCCCTTGAGGTACCTGTGGGGCAAGCTGTGGCCTGTGTCTCCCCAGCTCCATAGATCCTCCCAGATCCCAGCCAAATCCAGGCTCAGCCATCCTGATTCCTTGGACCTGAGCTGCTGCCGCATGACTTTGGGGGACAAGGAGGGGTTCTTCCTGGCAAGCCCTCTCTCAGCCTGCCTGCCTGCCTGCCTGCCAGGAGCCTGCATCCCAGTCAGCTCCAAACAAGGCTGCCGCCGCTGCTGCCACTGTGACGTGCTGAGGCCTTTCCTCCACAGGCAGGCAGCCGCGTGGGCAACAGATGTCTCTGCTCCCTGCCGCCTGTGGCCGTCAGCCACCACCACCGAGCCTGTCAGCGGCCTCACGCCCAGAGTGCCTGGCCTGCTGGCTGGCCTAGCACCCCCACCAGCTCGCCTTGGCGGACACACAGCAAGCCATACATGCAGACAGACACAGGGGCGCGCGCGCGCCCACACACACACACACACACACACACACACACACACACCCAGCAGTCTCCCTCAGCGAAGTGGGAGATGAAAGGCTCCCGGATGTGTTAAAGGCCCACCTCACTCAGTCCCAGGAACCTGGTGGCCGTGGGGTAAGGGCAGATGTGAGAAGCCTCCCAAGACAGCTGGGCCTGCCTGTCACCCTGGCTCCCAGAAGTGGGATTCCATGATTCTCTGCTCCACCAGGTGCACAGCCTCTCCCAAGTAGGGGAAAGAAGTCTCAGAAAGCCCAGCCAGCTTGGTCCAGGCTCCATGGAGAAAGGCGGCAGTGCAGTTCTCAGTTCTCCTGACTCAGGTCTGCAAAGATCAGAGCAGTCTGTGTGGAGATAAAGGATGGTCTTCAAATGGCTCCTGCTCCCCTCTGCTCTTTCCACCAGAGTGAGAGACTTCAAGGGCAGGACCTGGGGTTTTTTTGTCCTCTTTTGTCCCCTGGTCTGGGACCTCCAAAACAGAGTCTGACTTCTCACTTTTAGCCCTTTGAAACAAGAGACCCCAAGGCTGGGCCAGGATCCTGTCTTGCTGAGACTGAGCACCCCTTCTGACAGGGCCTGAATCCCTTCCTCTGCTCCTCTCTCCTCCTTAGATTAGCCACTACCCAGGGTTGTGCCCACTCCTCTTTGCCCTCTATCCTAAGCCTTGGGGCAATGTCTGGCCATGGAAACTGGACGAACTGGGCAGAGGCTATTCTGGCCCCTGGCCTCGTGTCCCTTCACAACCCCTTCCCCTGAAAGCCCCAAATTCCTCTTGGTCACTTCCCCTTAGGAGGACTGAGCTCATAGATGAGACTCTGACCAAAAGTGGAGTGAGGAAGTAGGTGGATCTTGATCATGTCATATTCAGAGAGGACCCCAGACCTCTCTGGGGTCACCCAGCTCTACTGGCAGGGACCTCTGATAGAAGAAGGGGCTCTCAATCATTTTGCCCCAAATGCTCAGGCTGGGTTCAGTTTAAGCAGCATTTCTGGGCCTCTGAAGATCTGTCCAGACCCCTGGCCCAGCGCGGTCCTTCACCAGCCCGTAGCGACTCCCCCAGAACGAGAGCAGCAGAGAGGCTGGTGTGTGACCTGGGGGGGATCCTTCAAGGGATAGGGCTGGCAGGCCCGGCGGCAGTTGGGAGGGGCTGGGGGCCCCCAATCTACCCTGCCTGGAAGCCTCTAGAGCCTGTGTCCCGCCCTGGCCAATCCTTGGCTTTCGAGCCTCAGGGACGTCGGGGATCCGGGTCTTGGGTGGACCGCAGGGGCAGCGTCTCCTATCGAGGACCTCCCCGCCGCCCCGTGGCCGCCGGACTCACCCGCGAGATGGTGAGGGGCGCGCTGAAGTCCCGGCCGCCTACCAGGCGGAAGCCCCAGGGCGACGGGCCGCGTAGGGTCACGGAGTGGGGCATCGCGGGCCGGAGCCGCCGCCAGAGCCAGAGCCGGAGCCGGAGCCGGACACCGAAGAGCCGCCGCCGCCGCCGCCGCCGCCGCCGCCGCCGCCGCCGCCTCCGCCTGGACGCCGCGCCCCGCCCCCGAACCCCCCTGCACCGGGCCCCCGCCCCCGCTCCCCTAGCACCCGGATTGGCCCCGCGGCCGGCCCGCCCCGCCCCCTCGGGGGGCCGCGAGGACCCGCCCCTCGGCCCCGGCGCGCGGAGCCCGCACCCCTGCCGCGGTCGCCGAGACCCCGCGACCTGGACCGCCCCGACGTCCGGGATCCTGCCCTGGCCTCGCTCGGACCGCGGGGACCCGAGCGCGAGCGCGGCCGCAGAAGCTCAGGCACGGGCCCTTTGGAGTCCCAGCCTGAGGAGGGGCGGGGGGCGGCCCAGATGGGGGATGGGGCCGTGCCTGGCTCCGAGAACTCCTCGAGGTCCTGGCAGGCCGCCCTGCCTCCCTACCCTACCCTTCGGGGTGGTGCGAGGAGTCCTCTGAACAGCAAAGCGCCGAGGGGCAGCCTGGCAGCCTCCGGCCTGAGGAGGCCTGGACCAGGCACACAGACCCAGGACCACAGCAGGCAGTGCCAAGTATGGGGTGAGAACAGACAGGGCCCCAGCCTCGTTCTCTGAGGCCAGGAAGAAGTGGCCCCTGGCTTGAGTCTAGAAGCAAGGGGGCATCTTGTCTTTCCAAGTGTCACTGCTTCTCCACCTTACCTTCTCTCCCAGGCCATCTGCCCGGCTGCACAGCCTCTTCTCAATCCTCCTTTGCAGAGATTTTTGTTTCCCCAGGCTTCCTAGAAAAGGAACAGCTAGGGTGGTTGGGGTAGTAGCTGCACCTCTGAAGGGGAGTGATGTGTTTGAGGAGCACGGAATTGAGGGCAGGCTTTCGTTGGAGGCACTTCCTGGTGCTGTCTTCACTCTCTGCCATTGTCCAGGGACATCCTTGAACGACGCTTGCAGGTGCCATGGCTTGGTTCCCCTGGACACTTCGTGTCTAGCTGTGTCAGGGCAGCACTGTTTTCTTCGTCAGGTTCTGAGGAGGCCCCTGATTTAGCCATTCTTGACAAGCCTGTGTGCTCTTTTGGCCAACTTTTGGTAAGGTCTCTGCCCTCAGGAGATTTAACAGGCTATGGGGTGAGATATGTCCATGGGGTCTCAGCCCCAAGAAGGAGGGCCACTTAAGAGGCACAAACGGGACACCGGGGTGGCTCAGCCTGTTAGGTGTCTGCCTTTGGTTCAGATCATGATCCTGGAGCCCTGGGATTGAGCCCCCGTATGGTGCTCCCTGTTCTGAGGGGAGCCTGCTTCTCCCTCCCTGCTCATGCTCTCTCTCTCTGTCATATAAATAAACAAAATTAAAAAAAAAAAGAGAGAGAGAGAGAGAGAGACACACACACACACAAACTTAGGGAAGTCCAAGGAATGGGGTGGGGGATGGAGGGTGGGGTGCCTTCACAGTGGGATGTGGATTCCACTCTGGCAGGTAGAGTACTACTACTGGTTCAGCTGTCAGGGAAAGGTGAGTGGTATGTGTGGCAGTGGTATTATGGGGGGGGAGGTGTTCATCTCCACAGAGTGCCAGCCACAGTATGAATCCTGTGAGGTGGAGGTTTCTGCTCAGCCCCATACAGACTTGAAGAGTGGAATTGGACAGAGTGGAAGAGCCAGCAGGAGAGCTGGTCTCCAAATGGTCTCTCAGAGGTCCTTAGGCTAGAAGCTTTGCAGACCTTGGATCCCACTGAGTGACATGGAGAGTGGGGACAACCATCTCACCTGTTACAGACTGTCCAAGGGTGAGATGCACAGAATGGCTGGGTAGTCAGAGACCCCTTATCTAGATTCCAAGAACTATAGTGACTATAAGTGGCACAGAGTCATATTGGGGGAAAGGAAGCCTTAAAAATCTGTGGAAGTTCCTACCTGAGACATCCCATAGTGGATTCTTGAAACTCCTCCTTAGCACTGCTTCCTTTACCCAATTTACACACCTCCAGAGACTGTAAACACCCACCCCCCACACTGCCCATCCTGAAATCAGTTCACTGCCTTCCTGTTTACTTCCCTTTTGGGGGAAGCATATCACTCCCTTCAAGATATAGTCCTCCTGAATATGACTTTCCAGCCCTTTATCATCTGATCAGTGTAATCCATCTGTGAGGGTTTCTATTGCAGGGTTGAAGATGGGGATGGGGTAGGGAGTCGCTCTTTTAGAATCTATACATAAAGTTATTCATTTCAATGTGCAGTTTCCGGGTCAGTTCCAGGGTCCGTGCCAATTATCCTACACAGTAGGTCCTTGATGACATCCCTGACTTAGGAAGGCATCAAAGGCCCATTTCGGACAGTGCCCTGCCATAGGACACAGCCTGGGCGGGCTGTGTTCCTAGAGACTGGGGACAGACCTTAGGAGCCACACTGTGGGTTTACTCCTGAAGGAGCCCGTGTCCTGAATAGCTGGCCAAACAAATCATCCGTGATACTTCCTCTAGGAAGCCTTCAGAATTTCCATTCACTCTTAATGGTCTTATTCCTGGGCGTTATTATGTTATTGAATCCCTATCGTGTCAGGGCACCACATCACAGGGCAATTACAGGGTCTAGGAGTCCTCTCCAAGGTGGGGATAAGTGGCAGCTAGCTCATGCCTCACCTCTGTCCTTGTGGACTTCACTTGTCACTACATGCCACCAGGCATCTGTACTGTTGGGTATAACCAGACTGTTCATTTCATGCGTTCTCTATTCATTCAACCAATATGTATTGACTGCTTTTCATATGCTCTGACTTGTGCTTGCCCAGGGCTGATGTCAAGGCATCCATGGGGGCACGGGCTGTGTCTATCTTATTTATGTTTTCCCAGTACCCAGCTGTGACCTTGGCTACTCACAGAGAGCCTGGCACACAGAGGGTGTTCAAAAACATTTGCTATTAAATAGCATTATCATTGTTATAGGAAATATTATCTCAGTTCACCCCTTGGCCTCCACCCAGAGAGAAGCAGGGGAGGGCATGAGGGGCAGAGGAGGGGTCTGCTCCTGCTGTCTTGGAGGCCACAGTCAAGGGCCCCAAGTGGCTCAGCGCTCTACGTCCAGGCTCTCTGTGAGCAGCCAAGGTCAAGAGAAACCACAGTGCTTTTTCCTCAATGGGCTGGCAAGCTGCAGCAGGATCAGAAACGTCTGGAAGGTGCCCTTGGGGCTGAGGCTACAATGAAGGGGAGGGAAACAGTAGGACAAGAACAACCTCAGGCCAACCTAGGGGACTACCCAGTGTGGGAAGCAGACCTGGGCAGGGGGTAGAGTGAAGCTAATGGAGCTGCCCATGAGGATACTTTCCTGTGAGATGCTGGAGGTTGGTCAGAGAGCTCAGGCCCTGCTCTGCCTCATCCTGACCCAGTGGCCGCAGGTCTCTGGGTGGAGTCTGTCCCATTCAGGCTCAGCTTCTCAAGCCAATACATCTTTCTCTGTAGGCCCAACTTCCTCACCCCAGTCAATAGCCTGGATTCCAAGGGGATTGAAATCCTTGATGGGGCATCCCCCTCTTCATGAGATATACCCAGTCCACAGTAGGGACTACTGCAGGGCCCCAGAGGAGAGCCAAAGAAGAACTTGAGAAACCTCTATTTTAGGGTGGCCTGTTTGGCCTAGCTCCAGGTCCCATAGCTTCTGATCACCTAGGGGTCAGCTGCTTTCCAAGGGGTCTGCTGGTCAAGGTTAGGAGTCTGTCAGTCTGTAGGGTAGAGAGAACAGCAGTCTGGGAAGGCTGGATGAGGAGAAGCTATATGGGCCTTCTGTAAGGCCAGGATTTGGCCCTACGGTAATAGGGAGCCAAGGTGGACCCTAGGCAGGGTTTAAGGGGTTCTGAAAGGAGGAGAAGCATCCAAGCAGCAGGCAGTACCTAGAAGGAAATCTGGGGTCATGTAGCCTGTAAGGCAAGTTGAGGGTTGATGCACCACACATCCTGGGTTGACAGGACTCAGTCAAGGAGGCAACAAAGCTGGCCTTTGAGCTGTGTTTGGTGAGACAGAACACAAAGGGGAGGGTGTGCCTGTGACCAAGGGAGTTTCCCAGCTCTAGTTTTGTGCCATTCGATCCCTCAACAAATACCAAGTACCTGCTGTGCGTGTAGCCTAGACCTGATTAACAGGACTAGGAAGTATGGTGGGGACTCCCCACCCTGCCACATCTCCTCTGGGGGCTGAGAGGCTAGAGGCTCCAGAGGGAGCCATTCTCTGAGGGTCCAAATGGAGACCAAGCTGATTTTGACAACTGAAGTCTTATTCCTGGCTCTGAGCCAGATTCCAGGACAGACACAAAAGCGGAACCAATTCCTGTCAGGAAACTTAGCCCTGGGGAGGGTGAGTGACCACCCCAAGCTCATATAGCTTCTAAGCAGTTGATCTGGGGCTTAGACCTACACCAGTGGCTTTATGCCAGACCTCTTGCAGCAGGGACTGGACATGTCTCCACCATACCTGCAACCCCCAACAACACCCCTGTCAGACTTGCTTTGTGTCTACTTTCACAGAGAAAACCTGTCTACTCTGGGTCCCAACAAAGGGGCTGCCAGGCATCAGGGCAGGGGCAGGTTTACCCAGCTGGGCCCAGGGAGGCCCCAGCCCTGAGGCTTGGGAGTGGAGGATGTTGGGAGGAGTGCCATCTCACACAAGGGGCAGGCAGCAGACAGTGGGAAAGCCAGAGGCAGCTCAGGCAGGGAAGTGACAGAACAGGCTGTCGGCGGCGGGGATGAGATTGAGCCAGATTGAGTGTTGTGCCGCTGGGGCCCAAAGAACACAGTTTATCAAGGCACCATGGTCTTGCTCTGCTACAAGGATGCTCCCATCCTCTCCTTCCATTCTACTTCTCATTCAGGTCAGAGGGTACAGGCAGCCTGTCCTGCATTACCCAGCTTCCCCTGGCACCAGATGTCTCAATACTACCTGTATCCT